ATAGCTGGCATCACAATCAAATATCTTTTCACTATGTATCCAAAAGTGGAATTAACACAAAGTGGTTATAATAACCACCTAAAAACAATAATCATCACAGACCAAACCAACTAGCTGTGTCCAGAGATTTAGGGGTTGGCAAGAGAAGGCCTGTTGAATTTGCTTTGAACCTTCAAGTCCATCCCTCCTCTATCCTTTACATTCCCGGGGGGCAGCCCCCCGCTCCCGGCACTCTCCCTGCCTTCCTGCCATTATGAGTAACAGCCTCTGATCACTCACTTGGCAGATAGGAGAAAATGATGGCAGAACCACCTCTGTGGTCCTCAGGCCATTCATCTCCAGCCCAAGAGAAAGAGTGCCAGCTCCTTTTGGGCACATAACAGAAACAGCATGAACCCTGAACTTGCTGCCACTCTGCAAGTTACTAGCTGTATGACTGCACATACATGGCCATTTTAACTTTTCTAAAAATTGATCTGTGTCTTATTAGATACTACACCTTTCTTCCCTAAGCCTCAGTTTCCTCACTGGTAAAATGAGTATAATAATAATAGTAGGACGGGTGGCAGTAGTAATAATTACAAAAAAACAGTAATAATGAGAAATACCTACTCACTGGGTTTCTGTAAGGATTAAACGAACTGATACGCAGAGAGCACCCAGTCGAGTGCCTGGCGGGCACTGTTTTCAGAGGTGCTAACAGGTGCACTGGAGCAAAAAGACCGTAAGACTTGTCAGTGCATCTCGTCTGCAGAAGTGTGTTGACTTTTGGTTTCAACGAGAGTTGAAGCATCTTTCTAAATTACTTTTTCTAAGTTCCATTACTCTCATTCTAGAAATGAAGAAAACAACACTTGCCTACCCCAGGGACTGCTATGAGAACCAAATGAAATATTAAATATAAGAGCATTTTGAAAACTATAAATATAAAATGATATTATTATTCGTTTAGCTTCTCCCCAAGGCTGCCAGCCTGTCCTGTTCCAAACCAAGTATTATCCAGTTGGTATCTCTGCTTGCTGTCCCATGGACAGAGTTCAGAGCTTACTTAGCAGGAAAATAGCTCCAGCTAAAAATATCTCTATTTTTCCTTGCTGTGGATTATACCCAGGTACATCCAGTAGAGATGAAAAGAAATGTGTTTGCTCAACAGAAATGTGTGTGCGGGTCGTGGGCAAGCCTCCAAGAGGATGATCAGGCCCCAAATGGAAAGAGTGGACCATCCCACGAACAGCTCGCGGGCATGGAGGCCAGCAATCTCGCTGCAGAATGCACCCCAGCAGTACCGCTCTGACCTGACACAAGGGGCCAGTGCCTGCAGACAAGTCCATCACTTCCAACCAAGCAAATTTCCCTGAATTCTGTCTGTGTGCTCTTTTTCCCGTTATTAGGGCTCCTGGGAACACAGCCCTACCTAACTCTGGTGAGCCTCAGAGGCAGCAGTTAATATTTTTTAAAGATGTGTAGCGGAACAGTTTTCAAAGTGAAAACTTACGGAGCCTTAAACCCACAGGAGCAAGTATTTATTTTTTAAACTTCCTACTTTTCTGAGAGAGATTACAGGATCTAAGATAAGGTGCCAGAAACCTAGGGTAATTTCTAATCGGGAGGCATTTAGGGTCCCTACACAGCTCTTGTTCACCAAGAGCATGGCCCTCCCTCCCCACAATGCTGTACAATTTCCAAGGAACGAGGGAGGGAAGGAAAACGCATGAGTTTTGTCAAAGCATCCGCTAACCCTGGGCCGTGGCTGGCTGCCCCTTGCCTACTTCCCCCTCAGCCACAAGCAGAGAAGGAAAGGCTTTCACTGAAGGCCCAGCCAAACCCATGGGCTGGAACAAGCAGTCTCCTACTATTCTAACTTGGGCTCATTTCATGTGCTGCGCTGTGCTCTGCCCCTCGCTGGCTGGGTATCTAAGGCAGGCCTTTTCCAGCCTTCGTCCCTTCTGCTGCCAAGAACTCCACAACAGAACCTCACGGCCACGTCAGTGAAGTCAGAAAGCAAATCAATAAGGCCCATTACTTGAGGGTCCTTCCACTCTGACAACTTACGTACATCTCTTCTGAGGCCAAAGGGGTTTAATCTGGTTCCAGGGTGTCTCATGGGTGGCTCCTCAATCAAGCGAAGAGGCTCATTCATTCCACACTGAGGGTCTCCTACACAGAGGCTCCAGTGGGGTGGTGCACGGGCTGGACTCTAGAGCCAAATTGCCTGGGTTCAAGTCCCAGCTCCTCACTTAGTTACAAGACTTGATGCAAATTATTAACCAAACTGAGTTTCAGTTTCCTTGTTTGTAAAATGCAGATGATGATGATAATACTAAGACCCACTTCATAGGCTTGTCTCATAAAGACAAAACAAATCAGCTGGCAGAGAGCAAGGCATTGACAGAGGTCAGCCGATGTGCCAGGCACGGTCGTCTTTGAAGGCCATACTCTCAGCCTCACTTTTCGAGGCCACCGTTTGAATTTTAAGCATAAACAGCATATGACTTTGGCTACAGGGGAATGGAAGAGGAGAGAATCCAAACCTCAAAATGAAATCCGCAGGCCTCGTTCTGACATTCAAGTTCCTCCACAACCTGCTTGCTTCTTTCCTTCCAAACAGCCCTCCTGCCACGCTCCCGGACCAGTTTTCCAGGGCCTCCATTCGCCACAAAAACAGCAAGCGCCCAGGTGCCATGTACTGTGCTAGACACACTCCTCCCACACTGTCAACCCAACACCTTCCCCTTCCTAGATTCTGCCCAGCCTTCGGAACCGAGCTCGGGCCGGGCGCTCCCACAAAGCCCTGCCCGGATGCTCTAACCCACCTGGCGGCCCCTTCCAAACGCTCTGAGGTCTTCGTGCTTTTACTGGGCACTCACCACACACTGATTATTTTGTTATATAGTTATATTTTATTTGCCTAACTAAGGTACAAGCGACTCAGAGGAAGGGATGAATCTTGGATTTCTTTGTATTTTCCTAAGTGACTAGTACTTTGCTTTAGCAGGGACTCAGAGAATAAGTGATTTACTTGATGTTTCAAGAGGGCACAGCTAGCACACAGCAAACCTATTATCATTTTTTCTAAACAAATACCCTTGCGATCAGTACTCCCTCAGCATGTAGAGACTTAAAGGCTCAATCTGCAGACCCAGACAAAGTAGGTTTAGGATTAAATCTGCCACTTATTAGCTGTATGACCTTGAGGAAGTTACTTAACCTCTCTGTGCTTCAGTTTCCTCATCTATCTATAAAACTAAGGATAGGGCTGGCCTGGTGGCAGTTAAGTTCCCATGTTCTGCTTCAGCAGCCCGGGGTTGGCCAGTTCAGATCCCGAGGGCAGACATGGCGCTGCTTGTCAGGCCATGCTGTGGCAGGCATCCTGCATATAAAATAGAGGAAGATGGGCACGGATGTTAGCTCAGGGCCAGTCTTCCTCAGCAAAAAGAGGAGGACTGGCAGCAGATGTTAGCTCAGGGCTAATCTTCCTCAAAAAAAAAAAAAAAAAACCTTTGTTTTCCAGTTTGACCCAGGCATCAATGAAAGCAGAAAATTCTGCCTCAAACCCATCAGGTATGATTATACATCTTGTCATCAAAACAGCACATTTTCCATCAAGTCGTTTCTCTTTTTTTTTTTTTTTATTACTTTTCAATGAGATTTTAATTAAGATCAGTTTTAACGCACAGGCTAAAAGGCAAATAACTCTTCAATCATGAGACAAAATGAAACTGCTGACAGAGAGAATGGGCAGTTCAAATTCATACATGGCATTCAAAAAACAAAAAGTGTAGTAACTTTCTCTCAAGATATTTGCAACAAGGGGGACATTCTGCTTTCCAATCTCATAAACCAAGTTCTGCAAACTGGCTTTCACTCAGTCACTCAGGGCCTACATAGGACTCCTGGTCTGAGTCTACTGGAGCCGTCACTGTGGTCTGGCTTCCTCAGCAGAGCACAGAGGTTAAGAGCATAGATGTAAACCTGGCTCCTCCACCTCCTAGCTACATGACGCTGTGCAACTTCTCTCTGTATCTCACTTCATCATCCGTAAAATGGGAAAAATAATCACACCTATCTCAGAGTTGTGAAAAGAGCTCACGAAATAAGGACATATTCACTCCTTGTTATACTCTATAACTGTTTAGCCAATGCCTGGCTGTACTGCACACTCAATAAATGGTAATTATCATCTCTATCATCTCATCTGTATGTGAATTCAATAGCCAAAACCAAGAAGCTAATCATTTTTCAAGTCAATGCATTTCTTGTTGAGACCAGCCAGATTCTAGAACTGGTCCAACAAATTAGTATTATGTAACTCATCACAGAAGAGACATAAAGCAAATTACAATAAAACAGAGCAAATTAAGCTTCCAAACGTGTTAAGTAAGCCTGAGTGTGAACACTAAGCTGTTGACCTAGGGGACCTGATACTCTTACTTAAGCAACAATGTTCCAACCGAGTCATTTGCTGCTTCTCATCTCCAACCTCACACTCAGATGGCCTCCAGGAAGCACAGTGTATTTCTGTACTTTTTTTTAAAAGTTACATATTAAAATATCTGAAAGGGGCAAAATTAAAAACCTCCTAAGCAGCTTATGCCAAGAGCGTCTCCTCTATCTAGAAAATCTATTTATTTCGGAATAAAGAACAAAAAGGCTTTCTTGTAATTCTTATTTAGAACAAGAAATTAAATGTAATCTATGCATGTAACAAAATTAAGCTGGATGAAACATTAGCATATTTGGTCTCTACCCATCTGAACACTGAAGGGTGGTTAGGTATCTATGTCATTGACATTAGAATGTCTAGCACCATCTGGTAAAATATAACACAGGCAAACATACTATGTATCTGCATAGTAATCAAACATTTTATTTCTCTGAAGAACATAGATACGTAAGTTTTACATAAACATCACGTCCTAAATTTTTCTAAACTGAAGAGACTGAGGGAAAATATATCCAAAAGAATATAACGAACGTGCAGTTTGTATTACGCAGCTTACCTGCAGTGGCTAGACAGGAACTCATCAGGGCAAACATGGCCACCACATAATGAGAAGCCATTTTTATTTCTCCAAAAGTGGGTCCTGTTCAGTCACCTCAGTCTGCAGTTCTTCAGATCGTAGTCACGATTTGCAAATCAGAAGTGACCTTAAAATCCTTTCCAATTTCCAAATTGCCTGTAAAAATAAACATATTTCAAGAAGAAAACTTAATGCAGAAACTTCTTTTGATAGACACACATTAAAGTGAAATGAAGAATTTCCAAAAAGTATAAGATAAATTTATCTCAACAGCTGCCAAGACAGCACTCAAACAAACTGAGGTGGGGGTGGTAATCACCCAAGAAAGATTTTTATGGCAAATACTTTTGCAAAGACATCTTATTTTTGACATTTTAAATCTTTGGTTTTATTTAAAATTTTGAGAATACAGAAGAAAATCAAGGTGCACCTATAAAATAGCATCACCAGTTATGCTGTCGCACTATAGGAATCCATGCCACCCGACACATGAATTCCCCAGTGCCAACAAGAAAACACAAACAACGCTGATTAGAGACTCAATCTGATGTTACAATGACAGAGTTAACACAAGGATCAAATTAAAATACATTTAGAATCTATCTGAAAAATAAAGAACCATTAAAAGGCAAATTCTTATTTCAACCCATTTGCCAAGCTTTTAAGAGGAGAAAACTCTTCCGTGTTTCTTAGCCCCCTCTGAGACCACCTGGTTACCGGCAGAGAGCAACCAAAGGTCCTTTCTAAACTTATCCCATCCAGAGCCTTGAATGATGTGTTTCGTGGTGATTTGTTTACCTTGAATCTCCCTCCTATGGCCCTAAAGATTACCTCATTTAGACCCTCCAAAGTATATCTTCCAGCCCTATATCCCCGAGCCTGGCACAACCCACAGAAGTTGGTCAACAAACATTTATTAAGCACCCACTATGTTCCAGGCATTGTGTAGGGAGATGATTCCTTCTCCTCAGGAATAAAAGTCATCCCACAACTGGATAAAGGCACAGAGACGCTGCCTGATCTCAGGCCTGGGAGAGGCAGGATCACGGAGTCTCCAGGAACCATCTCAAACTGCTGGGGACTGCAGCCTTGTGCCCCTCACCCAGGAACTACCAGCCACAGAACCAGCTCGCTGCCTTCAGAAATGAAGCCAGTTCGGGCACTTGTAGATACAGTACAAAACTATAAAAACAATGGCAAAAGGAGTTTCTAATTAAATGGTCCTAGTTTACCTCATCAAGTGTTAAGAGAAAGACATTTAAAATGGCTCTTCGCAGTAGTAACACTAATTGCCTATCAGAAGGAGGGAAATAGGGCGACTGAGGGATACCGGTGGGAGGGAGGGAGCAGAAGCCTTTTCACTGAATTCTCAGTTGGGTTTTGCAAATATCACCTATCCAGACATAATAACATAAAGCTCTAACTTCAAAAATAATTTTTAGACGTGCTTTAAAACTAAATTATTATACATGCAGGAGGCACTGTGGTTCAATCTCGGTATATGACAGTGATTAAAAGCCTACTATGAATAAAATATGGATTATAACGGCAGCTCAAAGCCTGCCTCTGTGTGAATCCACTCTGCCACCTACAAATGGGTGACATGGGGCAGATTACCCTTCGTGCATGAACCTATCGTATGGGCTATTAGGAGGATTAAATGAATTAATATACATACAGTGCTTAGATCAGTGCCTAGCACATTATAAGTGATGAATAAATGTTAGCTATTATCATCACTACTTGTCCATTCCCTCTGAGGTATGTTTATACCAATAAAGCGGAGAAATTAGGGTGTGGTTATTTACGTAATTCTTAGCTACTGTAAAACCAGTTCAATCTTCTGTTTACTGCAAAATAAACATTACAAAAGATGCAAAAAGGAGATACGCTAAAGAGCGGAATCACTAAAAGAACAAAATTGCCAGTCAAGTTGAGGCACAAGTCATTGGGGGCACAATGGTCTTGTCTCAAAAACTAATTACGGAGAGAATTTTGGAAGCTATGAAACTGACTTCAGTCATCCCATGAGGTCCAACCTTTCTGTGACCATAATTCCACATCACCTCAGATGAAATGGAAGTGTCCTCTGTTAACTAAAAAGTCACTGACAGCAAAGAGAATTTGGCTCTATTTTTTTCCCTTCAAAAAATTAGATTTCCTGAATGGACTGATACGGAAAACCCTCTTGAAAGAACACACTATTTCAGCAAGAGCCAAACCCTGCAAGGAAATCTCAGAAGAAGATGGCTTCCCAGAGGATTTTTATGGGGCACGCAAACTATAACCAGCACGAGGCTTGTGAGACTATTTAATGAACTTGTGTCACCCTCTGCCCGCAGCTGCAGAGGGTCTGTGTGACTGTGTGTTAATCCTGGGGCTTAAACCAGGTCTGAAGGAACCTGTGGAAAAGAAAAGCAAACGGTTCTATTAAAAATATAGACTGCAAATTGCTGACAAGAATATTGGGCAATTATAAAAATGCAGCAATTACAGATATAATAGAGCCAAGCTAAACAGTTTGATACCCAAAGGCAAACCACAGCAAGTTTACACCGGATCTTCAAACATCTCCGAGGAAGTCCAAGGCAAGTTGAAACTACACACTGCTGCTTCTAACAAAGAGGGAGCTTTTCTTCTTTTAGCTTAAAAGTCCCTCCACAATGTAACTTGTTCAAAAAGAAAATAAACTGCAGAGAGTTTTCTGTCTAATCTTCCCAATGTGGTGACAGGATCCGAAGGCGGAGGAGAATAAAAAGGGAAGCATGTTGTTCCCATTCAGTGGAACTCGTATTTTGGCCAAAACTTGCAAACATCAGCACCTTACCACACGACTTAGGGATCAGTTCTCCAACTGGAAGAATGCTGGACAAGCAAAGGCTTCTGAAAAGTGGTAGATCTAAAATAAAACTAGAGAAATACCAACTCTTCTTCCTTCTCTGAAGTTATATCACACTCAGTTTGCAAAGACCAGGGACGCCTCACCCTGGTTTTCTGACCTCACTGAATCTCTCTGGACTTTAAGAACTAAATGCTCCCTTTAGAAATATAAATAAGGGTACTCGGAGATCTTGAAAGAACAATTTGGGGTCTACTGCGTAACAGTCATTTTGCCCACAGTTCAAAGTAATGTGTTCCATTCAAAGGGCATCATAACTTTTAGTATCCACAAATGAACAGAAAAAAACTAAGTGAGAGCTTAATGGATTAAAGAAAAACAATGAATGTGCTACTAACTCTTCTAATTTCAGAGTTCCTCTATGTGTATTTCTGAAGCCATTCATCTGAGCGTGCTGCCCCACCTGCCCCAGTGATCCAACCGAGTACATAGGTAATGACCAAGACTAGCCAAAAACCCCTACCCAAAGGAGTTCTGAAATCCATCATGAGTTAAACCAATGTTCAAAAGGAATTGGTTGGGAATGGTATCCCTTGGGTTGAACAGGACGTTTTTTTAAAGAGCAAATCTATCTTAGGACAAAATGCGGCAAAATGATGTCTGGCAGTAGGCTAAAAGCCAGCAAAAAAAATTACTAAATTCCCCTTTCTTGGCTAACAAAACCAGCTATATAAGATTATCAAAATAAGAATTAACATACAATTAACTTGTAGTCAATCAATTTCTCAATTAAAAGAATTAACATGCTAAAGAGATATGAATGGCCCTTAAAGTTGGAAGAGGTCAACATGACGTCATTGATGAAGGGGAGCTCAATCCCCAAGACCAGCACTTGCCAAAATAACACGGCAGAGTCAAGACTAGAAAGCAGATCTTTCCATGACCAGCACTCTACCTCCCAGCTGAAGGTCTGTCATCAAAAACTAGGAACCATTTTCTATTTTCTCCCCCTCAATATTCAATCTCTGAAAACAGAACGTTTTTTCCAAGAAAGGGGAAAGACTGTCACGGCTGCCATCAGACATTGGTACTTCCATCTTGCCATATGCACTCTGCACCAATCATTACTGATCACAAACTGTGATTTGACTTCAGGACTGTGGGTGGCAGCTATAATAAACAAACAATCCTTGGTAATACTGTCTGACTCCAAGTTCTCTGAAAAGGCAAAGGGCAAGATGAAGCACAAACCTACGCATTGTCATATCTTAATGCTGAGACTGTTCAGTCCCCAATCAGGAAAACATTCAACAAATTTGAAGATCTTAAGAACAGAGAAATATTGAGTGAAATAAAAAAATTACCATTCCCTAAACTCAAATAGTAAATAACACCATAGTTGCTGATACCTTAAACATGAAATGGGTTTTCTGACAGATCATTAAAATGTTTCTAGTCTGCCATTTAAGTGAATTTTTTGGAGAAAAATATACTGTTAAGTCTGCAAATGGTTAAACAAAAACTGGTAGAGAAATTGTTCTGATGGCTATCAACATGTTATTCAGGGGATTTAGAAGAGGCAGGATGGATGACATCAATATCTAGCTTGGCAGCCTGTAGAAAGGGGTGTACAGGATGTAGAACAGATACTGTTGTTTGTCTGATGACATTTGGATGCCCTTTGAGACCTGTACACAGAGAAAGCAAAGCCACCTTACTGAGTCACAACACAACTCTCAGATTTCTCTACTACACAGAGAAACTGGCTAATTCCAAATCCCCATTTTCAGAAAGATTTGGCACAAAGAGGGGAAAAGTCTTGGATTTGGATAAGAAATCTTTGGAACTGCATCCAAGCACAACCAATATTCAACAAATATTTACTACCATGTGCCAGGCACTGTTGAAGATGCCAAAGATATAGCAGTGGAAACAGGAGCCCCAATTCTGCCCTCATGGAGCTTATATTCTAGTAAAGTCATGCCATTTACTACTTTAGGCAAGATATTTCATTTCCTGACCTTCATCTCTTCCTTCAAGAAATCTATATTCATTGCTTACTCCACGCCAGGCAATGGGGATATACGGGCCAAGCAAAGAGACATGTTTTCTGCCTTCATGGGCTTAAAGTCTGGTGAGATAAACAAATAATCACAAATATACAACTACACACTATGATAAGAGCTCTAAAGGAAAAGTATCTACAACCTGAAGGATAAGCAGAGGTTGAAGAGGCCAGGTGAGGAGGTAGAGGAGCCCCTACAGATCCCCGACACAGGAGGGAGCATGGCTGCAAAGCTAAACAAACGGGAAAGGA